CATCGACTGACAAACACTATTCACTTGACTCTGAAGAACTACACTCACCCGGACGATCACACTATACGAACTACTGATACTCCTGGGTTCAAACCATTTACTACTATACATCATGTCCTTCAGTGTTACTTCTATCAGTATCCCGTCGCAATGTTTCCAAACGAGAATCAAGTGTGATTTTTGTTAGCACTAAAGAAAGAAAGCACGAAAGTAATGATACCTTTCTGTTTTGTTACGCGCGTTGCGCACGCCAGTGTTATATTTTGAAAGCTGGTTTTGCATTCGGTTTTACACCCAGTTCTCTCAAACTTCTCAAATGTAATAAGCAATGATGAAATCGTGTTTTACAATCATCTCCGATTAAATTATGGCGTTAAGTCTTAAATTAAAAATGCCCAACAAAATGCGTTTTTAACCGTTTATATGGCTTTACTTGCGATTTTCTTGAATTTTCTTTTGTGAAATCTTCCAAACTTTTCACAGTACATCGAATCCGACGGGCCGGGTTACGAAATTGAAACATGAAAAAAGATGGGTTCTTTTTTTGCGGAATACTGGTCGCATTAATTTCCTTTAATTAATTAACTTTGTATCAAGGCATGTGTATTTCCAGTCCGCTATACTTTACGCAATTTCACCGTAGCCGAGAATGCGAGACAATTGACTGTCAGTTTTGCTTTTTGTGGTCATGTTGACATCATAAAATTTCGAAAAACACTGACTTTCTCCTTTGAGTTCGCTCAATTTGCTAAAGTTTTTGCCATCAGCACACGTGCGGTTGTAAAACTATAGGCAGTCACCTTTAAGAAGTAGCAAGCTCTGTGAAATGATCTCCGACCCCCCTGCCCCAGTTGAAGGTGTAGGTGATGGCCTACGACTACACTCAATTGGTGTGTACGGTGCGCGGTAAATTTGCGATATATCCCTGCCGGAAGTGAGATGGCAGGAACATGCTGGAGAAAGGGAGAATTAAGGGAAGTTCAGAAATCGGTCAGTACGTATACAAAATGCAGACTGCAGACCGGATACAAAATGTAGACTTGATTCAAACTGCAGAAAGAGTGCAAACAGGCAGATCGAAAATAAAAACTGCTTTTTTTGTACAGTATGTGATAACATGTCATCTTATAAAGTAACCGAGGTAGTAAGCGCGCTTTCATTGGTCGATAGGTGTACTGTTTAGTTGAGAGTATGCAAACACGGTTGTGACGTCTTAAGATTCGCGGGTTTTTTGTGAATTATTTTATAAAAGCAATAGAGTACTGTTTCCGTGTTTACATAGCCTCATCTAAACATTTGGGGGTTGGGAGAATTCTCGAAAGTTACGTAAAACCCTCGACTGCGTCTCGGGTTTGCATAACCGTCTGGAATTCTCGAAACCCCCCTCGTGTTTAGATGAGGCTATGTAAACATGGAAAAAAAATACTCCATTGCTTAACTTGATCAATTGTAACTTACTCAGTGTCATGAATCGCTTTTCAGCGGTCATCTAGCCCTCGTAGCAAGCGTTCCGTCGGAGGGGGCGAACGATCAAAATCTAGTAGCGAGAAAATTGGTGCATGAGCTAAAAATCGTCCGAGTCTGGGGTCATCTCCCATGAAAATTTGCGTTATCGGAGAATATTCTTGAATCAAAGGCTTGAATTTCTCTTTAAGAACGAGTAACCCTGTCACAGTGATATGTGTATCCCCTCCAAAATGGCGACCAGTGATATGTGTATCCCCCACCCCCCTCCCCTCTACT